AAAATTATAAAATAATTATATTATACCAAATAAAAATAGAAAACAGAAAGAAAATAATTAAATAAATTTAAAGAAGTGCAATGAAAGGAAAAGAATTGTGAATGATAATAATAAGGCTTGTAGATTTATTTTTTCCCCTTCAAGATTAAGATCGGCGGTAATGTTAAAAACTGAAATCGGCTTTCGGAACCCGCTATGTACATTAGCTATGTATCAATATTTCGAAAACGTAAACCCTTTCATCTATACTATATAGCGTAAATATCCTCCCCATCAAGCACTTGATCAAAGCAGTTATAAATATTGGTTTTTCAATCATTAGATATTTTCCTTTTAGGTTTTCATTTTGCCGGCGTTATTCTATAAATGCTCCCCTGGGAAGCGGTTAAAAAGGCATTAACTTTTTAGAAACAGGAAAAATCCTTTYCGAACCATTTCCTTACGGTAATATGCTTTTTGGGATTCCACCTATCTAAGATTTTTTGCTTCTTTTTTTCTTCAAATCTAATAAGAATATTTTGCCGATTTATGTTAAGCCCCGTTTACACTGGCGATTTTTGCTGCAATATTTTTGCTGCGATTTTTGTGGCAATTTTCGGAAATATGAAATCTTTTGTTTCATCCTTCAAAAGAGACATTCGTCTAGGAAAATCTTCGTATCCTGAAAAAAACTTTAGAAGTAAATTCTTTACCATTATTTATTATGGACAAAATCGCAAAAAAATCGTAGCAAATATCGCAAAAAAATCGCTAGTGTAAACGGGGCTTTAAAACCGAACGAGTATCCGGAAGAGCGCCCAGCGCTTGACTTCTTTTAATCCTGATGCTTACCAAGTGCAAATCTTAATACATGAATGATCAGGTATTTAAAAATTGGTAAAAGAGAGGAAAAAACAAACATTTACTACAGCTGGAACTAAGAGACATGTTAAAGTTGAAAAGAAAAAAAAAAAGAAGCTGCGAAGTTTGAAAGAAATAAGTTCGAAACTCGGAAATATGATTTTCGATCGAAATTGTGAATTTTGTCATACTTCTGATTCGAGTAAAACAAAAACCATATTTGTCAAAGCTGGAAAGAGCATTTGAAACTTGATAAAACAGCGAAGTCGAAGGAATTAAGTTCCAAACTGGAATTTATGATTTTTTAAATGTGAATATTTTAAATTYAAGATATTTGAAAATTCATATGTTCACGAGTTTTGAACTTACTTTGTTCAAAATTCCCATTTATACTAATCTTAACATGCTCTTTCCAAGTATTGAAATTATTCTTCTGAGTCCTGGATATTAATTTTCTAATTACATGATAACAACTCACTATTCCTGGCTGTATTTAAAAGAGCTTKAACAGCTTTAACAGTTGCCAACATAAGATATGTACTCGCGTAGAAATACTAAGCTATAATTGTAATGATAAAAGGGTAAATTTTACACCGTGAAAAGATGAAAAAAA